GAACCATTTACAGAAAAATAAGGCATAATTTTGTCGATAGTTCGAAATGTGATTAATTACGATTCATTCATTTTTAAGCTGTAATTAACTCAATTAAAAACTTTAATTGTTTGACAGCCCTAATAATAATACATAATGTCTGCTTATCTACTATAGTGCCTAGACTTTATATGAAGTTAATACTATAGTATTTGTATGTATTTTTAATCATGCTCGTCAGTCACTGGGTTGGATTAGTTTCTCAACCCCCCAGATTTTAAAGCAGGCACAGGTAATCTGTTTAACAACAACAACAGCTGAAATGCACTTATATTTGACTTATATGAAAACTCCATACCTTGGTTGAAAGCTCTTAAAGAGCTCTATTCAGTCTATTCATTGCTACTTACTCAGCATGCTACTTATGGAAACACAATCACTCTGTGTCTAAATGTGACGTATTTAGGGGTGTTATATTTGATTTAGGTTTTTAAATATGTCTGAAAGCTGTGTGCAATAATAAACAAATTGTGCATTCTTCCCTCTACCTGAGCTGTGAGCATCACGTTTATCTTTTGCCACTGACCAAAAGTAACCTTCTTTTTACATGCAAAGAGACACAAATGCTTCTTTCAAAAAATACTGAACAAAGAAAAAAGCCCCACCATACTTTTCAATGCTCCGACTAAATCAAAAAGCTAACAATTAAACCACACAACAACTCGTATGACTTTCCCACAGGTGCACGTTCTTGGTTGCAGCCTGCGTTGACCTAGTCTGTGATGATGTGTTCGTGTGTCTGTGCAACACCTGGGTATTTTCAGCTTCATTTGATTCTAAATACAGTCATTTCGTTTGGGGCTTTCACAGCACATTAACTTGTAGCCACAAAAATAGCATGTTTGTTTTGGACATAAAAAGGAAGCATTGGTTTCAGCCAGACAACTTCCAATGGAGCACTACCATCCACGGCAACGCAATCCCAAAACAGAAGGACAGGTGCTCTTGTAACCTCATCTTAGTCTGGACACATGCCTGACTGGACACACAAGGGGGTCATTGAAACTCATATACTTACAACTATGCAAATGTCCCTTTTAAATAGACACACGGTTACACCAGAACTTGAGCTGAAATTTCCCCACTGTGGGAGGAATAAAAGAGCTCTTAATCTGAGCTATTCCCACGAGTGAACAAAACTAAATCTCTGCAAAAGCTTTATTCTTATTCAATAATCGCTGCCTTCTTAAGCAATGGTCAGGGTTAGGGTTACTCCATGATGCTTTCTCCAGTCTGGTATAAAAAGCAAATCACAACAAGCATCCAGCCTCAGATTTTAAAATATCAAGAGTAAAATCGTAACAATCTCTGGCCAAAGTACAAAGGTATACTGTATTTACAAACATTACATCAAGGTTGGACCAATCTGTTTTTTCTCAGTAGAAACATGGAAAGGAGAGACGCTCCAAGTATGAGTGCAGAGAGATCTTCAAAAGGGCCGGTGCGAGACAGAACTGTGCCGCTCTGGAAGTGATCAGAGCTGTTGGGACAGCCGGAACCCATTACTGATGTTCCCCGATCGGGTCCCGTGGTCTCGAGTATAGTGTCTCTGCTTGGCCAAAATCTCTCACTGTGTCTGGTCTATGAAATCCGACTTTTCTTTCTACATATGCCAAGTCCTGTCACATTAAGAAAAGTGATTTATACTTGATTTGAATCTATAATTAAAACTATAGAACTAGGGCTGTGCCAGAAATCGGAAATTGAACGTTTTGTGGATCGAAATTTTCATTACTTGAATTAAAATCAAAAGGCAGCAATCATGTAGCAGTAACCGTCCCTCGGTTACTGCTACATGATTGCTGCCTTTTGATTTTAATTGGACCGTGTGAGTTTCATTTATTCATGATGAAAAGGAAGGACCGAAAACATGCATTGATCCTATTTCACTAATTTGTACTCTTTTATTGTGATTGGATAAAATGTTAAGTTAATGATGTTGATAAAAGATAGGTTATTTACAGTATTTCTAAAAAAATCAAATCAGAAATCAAGGTCAATATAGCAACAGCCGTATATAAAACTATTAAAACAATAAATAAGTTGATTTTTTTGTGTGTATATGAGTTTGTACTGTTGTATACAATGTTTGTATGGATAAAAGTTTGGACATCGGGTATTGGGTTAGCAAGATGTAGCCAAATCCATGACTGCAGAGTGCAACAGCTCTGAATGTGTTCAAATAGTACAATGTGCAGTCTGTTATTCCAACATTGATGTTATAAAGCCCTCTTAAATGAAATCACCTTTATTTTCCATTCTGTCTTTGGTTTTAGGTTGGTACTGGCGGTGCTCAAATGCAGCTGTGTAGTCTCCGCACGTGTCAAACATTTGCTCTGAAATATGTTGGAAGTGTGAAAAGGAAAAGTATATTAGCGTTAAAGTAAAAACAGTTGGGAGAAAGCAGGAGATCGCAGCATATGATTTCCTGATGTTGGCATAAAATGAATGTATTTCACCGGGTTTTTTTCAAACCTCAAGAGACACAAAGCAGCTTTCTATCAGAGAAGACAACAAAAGTGGCATATAGTGACTTCAAAATGGGCTGAAAGTTTCTAATTGGTTTCTTAAAAAGGCTGCTCTTTAGATTTGCCATGAATGCTAAGTAAAAATTGTATGCAAGCTAACATTAAGTTGACAAAGTGCAGCGGAAAAAAGCCCTCCTTAAGAATTGTGATAATTTGATCATTGTTGTTCCGTCATGTCGTAACAAAGCCCAAATGGGGGACGACTAACACGCCAAAGTGAAAAGAGCCTTTTAAAACGAAGGGGCTAATGGAATATGTTCTTTATTCAAAAACACACAATATGCTACGCTTGTATTTACATTCAAATTGCGGTTTAGAGTCTGGAGAGTCTGTTTTACTGTGTTTATGGGCGACACAAAGGTTGAATGCACTCTACAACACAAGTGCAAAGGAAACAGCCACCTCTGCAGTCTTGTTCAGAACGGCTAATTACACGTATGAACACAACTGAATCACTCCCCTAATTGTCAAACCGCAAGTGGCACAGGCTATAAATAGGCTGACTTTAGATGAAGGGACAAGTCAGTGTCAATTATGTCTGCTGTGACTCACCACCACACACAGCCTAAGAGGGTGTTGCATTAATATTTTAGGTTACATAGTTAAAATATTCTATAATCTAAAAAAAATAGAAAAACTCCAAAAAGTACATTCAGCCACATTAAGCAACTATGCAAATTAAGATCTTCCTTTTCTGAAATAATAGGATTTGAAAACACGCAATGACATTTCTATCATAATAATTTATCTTACATGAAACCTCTCGGAGCCAAAGTTAAATCCTGGAAGATGGGGCTGTGCCGCGGTGGTGCGCCTGGTCGAGGTCCTAATGATAGCTCTGCCCTGCACCACAGACTAAATCAGGGCGCGTCGGTAAACCAACTCATGGAGCCACTTAACCTCTGTCTGCTGCCTCGCCGCCAAGGCAACAAAATATTCCGAATTTTAGTACCACCTGACCACCACCCGTATTGAGGAGGGACACTTTCTCTCTTGGCTCAAAGGTGCAAAAATGTTTGGTCCAGGCTTAAAGTGTTCTTTGAGTAATTCAGGGCTGGGTGATGTGGCAGAAAAGTAAAACCTTGATTTAATTGCACAAATTTCCATCCCAAACTACCGTAGCCTGGCCAGACAGACGCCCCTCCTTTCTGAACAAAAGAAGAACCGCCAGGGCCACTGCTCACGGCCAATTCATGATGATTTACCGAGAATATAATCTATGTACAATCCATCCTCCTCTGGATTCACCACCTGCAGGAGGATCAGTGAGGGGCTGGTGCTCTCTGACTGAGACTGACTGAGAAATCTCTGTGGCGGATCTTTGTGGACTGTTCGTTTGGATATCGGAACTAGACCAATTTGTGGAAGTAGTGGGCATGAAAGTTGTTTGGCTTTTAACTTATTTTTACATTTATAACTTCATCAAAGAGGCAATTATGATCAAATATGATGTCCCATGTCATTGCAGTTGAAAAAACAATGATATACATTTTTACAAAGCAATTTTATTACTCATAATCAATAATAACTAGATAATCAACATAAAGAAATTAAGCGACGACGCATTCTCTATTTTCATGGTCAGTTTTGAGCGTGGCAGACAGAGAAAATGAAATGAAATGTCTCAAATAACCATGAAAGGGCAGGCTTCTTTTGTTGCTAATCAGTGGCATGTACACAACAAATTACGTTTAAAACGGCACGTACACAACAAAAGGCGTTTAAAACGGCAGTCTGAGATTTCGTTAAAATGTAAAGTGCGTTATAAATAAAATTTATTATCATTTTTATTATTAACAAAGAGTTTTCAAATGGCTTCCATGTTGTCATGTTCCGGATTCTACCCATCGCCGTGGCGACAGAAACCTTTGGTCTTTATGCAGAGAGGTTACCCTGGTAACCTTTGATGACATAATCACATTCTGTCTTGAAGCAATGATAGCCTAGGCCCTAGGGTTAGGGCCAGGAGAGTCTAGGGGTAGTAGATTGAGGGGAGGCAATTGGCAATTGTTGAAGATGTTTTAATTTTAGATTATTATAATCATATATTCAAGAATGGATTTAGAAATCCAAAGATTGACTTTGGAAAAACAGAGTCTGGATTCAGAGTTCTTGGCTGTAACAGATTACTATGTGGAACTTAAAAAAAAATCAGACGAAAAGATCCTAGAAGTAGAAACAGTCAGAGCTAGTAGACATACAAGGCTAACAAACAAATGGACGAGAGAGTCAGATGGGCTGAAGGCTGAGAAACAGCAGCTGCACACTAGGTTAGAGGAGAAAAGAAGGGCTCAGGTTTGTGCTGGTGTAGAGACCCAAAAAGGACCAATCGAGTGCAAAGACGTCGCTGTACAGGTCGGGGTTGAAGTTAGGGAGATAGGCACACAAGTCGAATCAGAGCTAACATTTACAAATGCAAGTGTACAAACGGAGATGGCGTTTGTAGAGACGGGGACACAGACTGAACAGAGGTCAGAAGAACGCGCTGCTTCTGACCCCCAGCAGGCACAGGGAAGTGACCTGGTGCAATGCCTGGAGGAGTCAGAGACACAGCTTCGTCAGCTCGACGCTATCAATAGTGAGAAAGATGAAACCATCTTGAGGTTGAGGGATCAGGAGCAGGCGATCGAAGTGGAGCGTCGTGAGCGAATGGAGGAAACCCGCGAAGTCCATGAAGTCGAAGTGGAAAATGAAGGAGGCTTCTGGTCAACTTTCAAATCCGGGGCAAAGAAAGTGGCCACAGCAAGTTTGTGGGCTGTGCCTGCTGTGGCTTTTGGGTTTGGTATATACGCTCTCACCCGTTAAGGGGTGAGCCACTTATCAACCTTGTCCCGTTTAAGGGTCAAGGTTGGTACATGTATGTGTGCGTGTGTGTGTGTGTGTGTGTGTGTGAATGAGTGTGTGTGTGTGTGTGTGTGTGGTTTCAGGGATGGCCACGCTGTGCATTCGCCCAATAGACAAATCTCTGTCAGTTACTGCTCACAAATGGGTCATAAGACGCATTTAGGATCACTGTGTGACAGAGTTGGGTCCATGGAGCATATGCACAGAGGGGTCAGGTCGAAGCCCTCCGACTGTACGAAGAAGTTCTTTAGGATTTATTTATACAGTCTTGTGTGAATGTGTTTTACGAGCTTGGGACCAACAGGAGTCCACACTTACATTTCATGCAGTCACGTCATTTATGAACTATTCTCTTTGAAAGTCCAGGAAAAAGAGTGTTGGTGACAAACTGATAGACACGATCTATGGTGAAAATACTGTGAGGCGTCCAGAACAACACACAATACGACCAGACAACTACACAATAACGGGCATGGTTCCTTTTCTCCCGTCACACTTTACACACTTGAAGTATTATCGGGAATAAGTATTACGAGTTTGAAATATAATTTGAAAATGCAAAGGTGCTAAGATAGAATTTTATTTTTATTTTTCTGTATTGTAAAATTAATTTCAAGGAAACTTGTAGTATGTGTTATTTCCTTGAATACTTCAGAAGTGTATGTGTGAAGGGAGCACAGGGGAACATGACTGTTGTGTCGTTGTATGGTCTAAGAGTTAAAACATGTGATGGACCAGCTGTCATGATATCACTGGGGTAGTCTTGCACAGTTTTTCCAATGTGGTTTTACTGCAAATGGCAAATAAATGAATCTTATTCTGAATCTGATATGCTTTCTTTTGTGCCATCTCAATTGTTCCAGGTCACTTTCCTCATTTATTTAAACTGCCACCGCCTTTCCCAAATGCTGCTTCCAAAATTCGCTTCAGTGTTTTGTCTACATTGCCTAAAGACATGTCAAAGACTTCAATTTGTCTCTGTAATGTGCAACTGTCAACACTACGGATACCCAAGACCTGTGAACTCTAACTGCAGGTCTGAAGAGGGCCGTAATGGACTCTGGCTCCAGGTGTGTCTACCTGACTGCTATTCAGGGCCCTTCAAGGAGAACCGAACGGAGATCAAGTTACTCTCTGCTTCATCCCTCATGCAAATACTAGCACACGTATACAGGTACATGAAGTATGCACTGGGCCTTGATCCATGAAATAGGGAGTAAGAGCTGCAGGCCAGAGCAAGATGAGGAGTGGGTATGATGGATGGTGGGACCAGGAAGACAGGCAGTTAATGGTTTAGCCGCAGGACAGAGGTAGAGACACATGCTACGTCAGGAAATTGAAGTACTTAAACATGTGTGATCAAACATGTTCAAATTGTCTGAGAGGAGGAGTTTGGAATATGGGAGTAAGAAACAGATTAAATGAGGAGTGAAGGGAGGAGTGGGGGACAACCATGAGATTGGATCTGAGCCAGGTTTGAGTCTCAAGAGTCTTCAGGAGCAGAGAGGAGAGATGAAGAGGCAATTTGGGAAGCTTTGAGTGGACTGCAATGGGAACGGAGCTGTGAAGTGGGCGGAGCTTGATGTTTCTATCTGGTGAGTACTGACTACAAGAGCTACATTATTATCAATATAATTATCAAACATTAAATGCAGCAAAGTTAGGCAAAATTAAACAATGGTGTTTGTTTCAGCTTAAACCCCCATTGTGACTGTGACTAGAAGTTACTAGATGGCGAGTTACCCTCTGTCTTAATCCCATATAATTAATCAAAATCAAATACTGAATTATTCTGTTTTTGTATTGGTTTTCCTGTAGTAAATTCTGGATCAGAATTTGTGCATTCACAATTAAACATACAAACTATCCAAACATAATCATTCTGATTTGTATCAGGATGAGTTCTTCAGTGTATTCTGAACGCACCTGTGTCAATACTGCAGAAGGACGTTTTAGTGACAGTATGAAGAAAGCGTTTTATGAAAACATCTACACAAATTGTGCTCTCTGAATGGAGGTGTCAAACCTAAGACAACACGACTAAATAGGATTTTGAAATGACATGAAATGAGATGCTGCCAAAGAATGGGGGAGGGTTTGTTCAATTATACCTATGTGTAAACATTACTTTTTCCTAGACCGCAATTTCCTGTTTTCCCAGGCGATTAGAGAGAAGTGTAAGCCTGCCGGAGTCACTACACGGTCACACTTCCTCTTGGGTTTGAAGAGGCTGAGATGAGGGGAGGACAGACGGACTGCCAACACAAACAACACATGGAAATGACTTCTGAATATACCTACGATACCCTGCAGAAGACTGCAGCGCCAATTCAAGTAGATTCACTGTTAGAAAGTAATGACAGACATCAATGAGATGCACAAATATATGCAACTGTAACCACTGTTGACAGTTGTAATAATAACTTCATAAACTTCCTCTTCCTCATACGTTTATGACAAAATATGCAACACCTGTTCACAAGAGCAAAAATAACACTGACATGACAATCCTCAAACACAAGCAAAGATCTTTACAAAGATCGATCCATGGCAGTGTACTCCGCCGCTCGTCCTGTCACTGTAACCTCCACAGAACTCTTCACGAACAGCGCACACAGAGACTCCAGCTGCATCTCACATGGACATCTCCCTTCAAACATGCCTCGAGTTCAGGACAGACTCTGCTTAGTTAACTGGGCCTTTGCTTCTCTGCATACAGTGGATCGCACCCTGATCCACGGGTTCATGGCCAAAAGAACTGTAGCACAATCTCTTCCTCTGCACAAACCGCCAGCAGCTCTCGCACCTCTGCAACCCGACACATTGTGCTTTTGGCCTTGAGACCAGTTCCCTTTGCCCTTTTGACGTGCCTCTTTACGTGGACATTCTCCTGCTCTGTACAAATTTACAGCCATCCAGATTTCAGCCAGAGTTTACACCAGAGTCCTGAAAGGACAAACTCTGGATCGGAGAAGTGGGCATGTGTAAAAACAGCCAGAGCTCCCGGAGATTGCCCAGAGTTTACCCAGAGTTTACCCAGAGTTTATCAGGAGAAACGCCGGTTAGACGTGTTTGTAAAGGGCTTCTGTTTCTTTCCTGTAAAAGTCAGATCATTATCTGCACATGAGAAAAACTGCAGCACTCTGACTAAAAGGACTCATTTGTTACTCAAATGAACCATGTTTTAATACTTTGGCAGAGGGTTGTGAAGCGAGTATCAGCTGAGCAAAGATGTTTAATTACAGGTTTGATTAGTGAGGTTTGATGTAGAGTCAATAATTCCCTTGACTGACGTGTTCGAGTTGATGCAGAGGCATGACAACAGATCTCCAAGTTTTACATCTGTATTTAATTTATCTTGACAATCAGATACAGAAATTCAACAAAGGGCTCCTATCCTAACGATGTCCCTGGCTCGCCCTCGGCTCATTCTCCTGTGTCCTCTCAAGCCAGAGCATTATCAGTCCATGTTCAGGAAGCAGGGGGCGTGTCGTATCAGGCAGGACTTGGGTCCGGCCTCTTCCATCATGTCCCCTCTGTCTGCCGTACCTTAAACAGAATCATTCACACACACTACCACTCCCCAAATTTATTACTTCTTTGAGATAAGGCAGAAGGCTCTCTGGGTCCCCCTCCTTCAGGATTAGCAGAATCCCCCCCCAGATTACCTATCATTAACTCACCCATGCACTTTGGACTAACAAAGGAACATGGGGAAACCAGGTCTTTTTGCTTTAGGAAAAGACAGTTCAAATCAGGGTCAGCCAATATTCACATCTGCATAGTTAAAATATACAACAGTTTCCCTCTTTTGACCTGATTAAAAAATTAGGTCACAATCCACATCGTCGTTTATCATCAATACTTGTGCTTAGTTCCGGCTTGATATCTGTGAAGAGTTAATACAGAAAGAATACAACACACAACCACATTCGAAACATTCCTTCACAAAACTCTTTGATGGCCACCGCTGTGTCATTCTGATTCTTCATCATTAATCAAATTGGTATTATCGTTACAGGAGCTAATCTATTTTAGCAGGTTTCTCTGGGGTCAGTCCCTATACAACGGTATTTTGATTCTCTAATCTGTTGCTGACAAATCGACAGCTCTTAAAATTCTCAAAAATACCTAAATATCTACTTTTGTGCTATATTCAAATTAACCAAAATGCTTTTAAATGTTTTTGAATCTCTGTTGGTTCTAATCTATCTCATTAATCTAAGCTACATTAATCTAGGCTACACTCATGAACATTATCTACTTTTGAAGTAACTACTTTTGGACATAATATGAAGGAAATGGTCTTTTTACCGTTTGATATTAGCCCTGTCTAAAAATAATCTCTATTTTTGAAAGCATCTATCTATTTTACACTCTATTGTGACTCCAAATCTTGGTTGTAGTTTGAGCCAAAGCATATTCCCAATTTTTGAGTTCTGATTGTAACAATTGCATTGGCAATAGACGATTTTTCATTGGCTGGTTCTTGTTCTGCAAATCACTATTCTATGTATTGTATTTCAGACAATTCCAAAAACAACACAGTCGTTCTCCAATATTAAAAACATGAATCTATTCAATTTGCCTGAAAGGGAGCGGGAGGAAGAGAACTATTTTAAAACCGTTCTCTACGATTATATGGCTATGAAATTAATTATTTAATAAACAAAAGCACATTCATGGCTTCTGTCCGCTGCTTATAACTGTTTAAAGAGTTGTCCCAAACTTAATATGTGTAAATACATCAGCTGTTTGTAATAAACAATAACATTTAACCTGTTCTCCAATGGAGCAGCTCAGAGGCTGCATCAAGAGCAATGTTATATTTGAGCTATTTTTAGATTTAAAATTGTGTTAAAGCCTGTCGTTCTATGTCTGCATTTTTAATACTACTCTCTATAAACACATCTGCACTAGTTCCTACAGATGTGGAAAACAGAAACATCTAAAATCTGACT